CGAGTCAAGTTGAAGCTGTCATTTTTATTTTCATAACAGGAAAAAGTACACCACAAAACCAAGCAATTTGCCCCTCATCAAAGGAAAGCATAAGCAAAATAGAAACCTTTGTAACTAATCGCTTAATAAACTACAAGTAATTCTTTACTCATTATGATAACGCCAATGCTGGAATAGCTCAGTTGGTTAGAGCGTGTGGCTGTTAACCACAAGGTCGGAGGTTCAACCCCTCCTTCTAGCGTTTAAATTTTCCTTTTTTCTCGTAGTCACATATGTATCATTTCTTCTACTATTTTTTTTTCTCTATTTGATTTAAGGTGAATATTTCAAAAATTCAATATTTAGTTGCTTGTTATATAAGATTTCTTGAACTCAATAGATATGCACAATGGTACATAATATATAATTTAATGCAAATATCGAGTGAAAAATATATATTCTTGATATGGTTTTTAATGATATATTTAGATCAACAATGATATCAAATCGTCTAAAATTACAAGTTACAATGGGGAAAATTGGATCAACCGAGAACACGTTATTCAAGACATGACTGAAAATTACAAAATATTCAACAGTAATGTTAAGTCGCATTAGAATTAATTAATCACTTCAAACATGCCTGCATGATTGAAGTTCAAATTCACAAGTTAAACTTTTAAACTTCATATATCCGAATATGACATTTTGCTTGTCAAAGTCAATTCAAACCTACATATCTGATTTTGCATTTGAATGACATCCAACTCTAGACATAACATAAGTATCTAAAATTAACATAACTTTAACGATAGATTTAGAGATAATTGATGATAAGAAATTGCTTTATGGTTGACAATCATTGATTAAAATGCGTACTTCTTGTAATTGTCGTTGTCTTGTGTGAATTAGACACAATGTTAATTTTGTTTAAAAATTGAATATTCTCGTAAATTATTCTATTTCAAAAAAGTATGCATTCCAAACCTTCATTACTTAAAGATGGTTCCAATTTTTGTTGAAAATTAATCCTGCCAATAAAACTAATCATCTCTTCACATACATTGCACTTCTATCAGCTCCACTCATCAGCCTTGACAACTGTTCAAATAATGACTAAAATTTAAATGTTGATGATATTAAAACTTTTTAACATATGTAAAACTGGCTATTCATGCAAATTGTAACCATTTCACAAGTTCTTAAACCCAATGGGCCGTTATTCAATCAACTAAATCCAGCCCATTATAAAATGTACAACAGCCTCATCTTTTATACTCCTCAAAACCCTAAAGCTTTTCTTCTTACTTCCGCAAACAAAGCTTTTGGCTCTCACACAAACATCAGCTCTGTAGTAGCCTCTCACTAGCAGGTACTTTCTTCTCTTCAGGTTTTACGGCAAAATTCGATCTTTTAGCATTATTTCTCTTAGCTTGAAGAAAATGATTAGTACTATTTCTTTAGCTTTGTGTTATTGATTATTTGTAAAAGCATGAAATAGATGAAATTAAGGGAGGTTTTTTTGTTGATTTCGAAGAAAGATGACGTTTTTCCTCAACCCCTTTTGAGATTAGCGATTGGGTTGATTTTTTTTTTAATGGAAAGACCATTGTGTTGATATTAAATGTGGTTGAAATGAGGATTTATATAGCTGGGCCAATTTGTTTGGAATTGAGGCGTAGATTATGAATGATTGATATGCTGTTTTATAGTAGAACTAAGAAAAAAATATTTGCTGTGTTGAGTTGTATATTCAGAAAAAATGAATCTTTGCTTATTTGGACTGGCTTTTGCTGATGCTATTTATTTGGACTTGTCCTTAGTTTCTGTTTTGATTGGTTCAGTGAACAGATCTGTGAAGATGTACACGTCGAAGCAAAAGATTCACAAAGATAAAGATGCTGAACCTTCTGAGTTTGAAGTGTCTGTTGCACAGGTTATGTTTTGTTCTTACTTGATGACATTTGTTATTTAAAACCTGAATAGTTCATTGGATAAATGTTTAAAGGAAGGCATTAAATTGTTTCTGAACAGGCTTTCTTTGATTTGGAAAACACCAACCAAGAGCTGAAAAGTGAATTGAAGGACCTATACATCAATTCAGCAACGTATGTGTGCTGTATTCTATGTTTTACTGTATTTAATGGCTTTGATTCTATATTGTAGGTAGTATGTATTTTTGCACATTGTAATATTTGCCTCTGTGTCATGGCTATTGCAGTCAAATTGATGTGTCAGGAAACAGGAAGGCTGTTGTTATCCATGTTCCCTACAGACTGAGGAAAGCTTTCCGCAAGGTTCATGTTCGCCTTGTTAGGGAGTTGGAGAAGAAATTCAGTGGCAAGGTAGCTATTACATTGTTTCTGTAATTTTTGTCTTTAACATTGCCTTAGAGAATTTCGGAAGAATTTGGTATCTATCATTTAATCTGAAATGCATACTATATTAGTTCATCCATGGTTATTGAAGTTAGTGGTGTTCTCTAATAGAATCATTCTTCATAATTCTCATTATTAGTTTATGAATTGATTCCTTCAAGGCGCTGCACTTTTGGTTTCTACAATGTTTTCCTGAGTTGTAATTTGGCTAATTGAGATTACCTTTTGGTATTGGCATTTTGGAATTCACATACTTTGGTTTAGTCCTATAGTGGTATTGACATATTTTTCTATTTCTTGCTTCCCCTCCTTTTTTGATTTATATCTGTGGTGCTATTCTGATAATAGCATCATAATTTTCTAAATAGTCTTAATGGAGCGCAACCTTCCTAATCGTATTCAGCTGGTCATGTAATCATGGCAAAAATATTCCAGGCCTTATTCATATTTACTGTATATTATTTGCACTGCTTGTAGGCCCCAATTACCTGTTCAATGTTTTAATATGTAGTACTTAATAGAGTAAATATTTGATTAGATGGCCTCCCCTTTGTTAGGAAAACAATGAGGGCAAATGTTTCCTATTCTGAAGCTTTAAATGTTACATTGTATTTGCATTAATTTATTGGGGTAACTATTCTTGTTTTGTTTTACCATGTAGTGTGGGGGCTTCCTTGCCTTTGATTAAATTTTGATTTTTGTAGGATGTGATCTTTATTGCCACCAGGAGGATAGTGAGACCTCCTAAGAGAGGTTCAGCTGCTCAACGACCCCGCACCAGAACTCTTACATCTGTTCATGATGCCATATTGGAGGATTTGGTTGTCCCTGCGGAGATTGTTGGGAAGCGTACTAGGTATCGCGTTGATGGCTCCAAGATAATGAAGGTAACGTTGTGATGCACCATAGTTATCTGTATCTTCCTGCTTAAATGTTTACTGCTACAATCAAGTGGAATAGTCTTTAGGGTGAAATAACAGTACTGCTTGTACATTTTTCACAAATGTCAGAACTAATAACTGTGTGGTTTTCTTTATTATATCATTTTTAAGTGAGAACTTGTGTTATCTTTACCTTTAAAAGTGCAGCAAGCTCTATTCTTGTTTTCCTGACTTGTTTCTTATCACTTTTTTGGGTATAGGTGTACTTGGACCCCAAGGAACGAAACAACACAGAGTATAAGTTGGAGACCTTTTCAGCAGTTTACAGAAAGCTTTCAGGCAAAGATGTTGTGTTTGAGTACCCCATCACTGAGGCTTAAGTTAATGTAATGCATGTCCTCGTCTATTTGATGTGAAACTACACATTAGCGGTTCCTCCTTTGAAATTTTGGCAGTTCCATTTTGTTTTAGAATGCAGGGAACTATGTGAAATTCGTATCAATTTTAAGTTAAAACCATGTTGCTATGTCATAGATTTCGAGTTTGTTTATTGAAACTTGGTTTCATTTTCTCTCTCTCTCGCTCCCTCCCCCTCCTTTATTTAGGTAATTGTCAATGTCTATTTGGTGTTTGCTTTTGAGATGTCTGCACAAGATTGATTTATCAACCCATTCTGGTTATCTGTTACCAAAAAGATCATCAAACTTGTGTTCCTGGTGAAAGTTTTTTGTGTGATTACTGATTGCAAGATCAGCAAAGGCAGAACAAAAGATATTGTTAGTTGTGTTGTTGGCACTATACTGCTATCCCTTGTTATAAATATATTCCATCCCCTGTCAAAAGGATGCCTACTTGGTTTATAGTCCACTATAATGCCTATTGTATGCAACCCATTTACCTTCACAAGGTAGGGGTAAGGTTGCATTATTCCTAGACCCATCTTGTGAGATTGTATTGGTAATGTTGGTTTTCTTGTTCAGGAACAAACAACTATTACTTTCCAGATGTCCATAAGTGAATCAATCAAACAATTTTTGAAGGTTCAACTTTATCATAGTACTATCTCCTGAGTACTGCCTCTCTGAGTTTCCTTTTCTACTATTGTCTTCCTCTTAAGGAACAGTGCCATCAGAAATTGGTTAATACATATTCTCTTCTTCTCAAATTACATTGTACTCTATTGAGAATTTGAGATACCCTATCATGGAACGATTCCAGTTTTGTTTTCTGCTAAATCAAATGACCTTAGTTCTTGACGATTCCTCGACTAGAATAGCAATATATCAAATGAAAATTTAGTTTCTTTTGTGCAGAGTGCGGAGGGAAAAACAGGACTTAAGGATGGATGCAAACAATTGTGAAATATGCAATTGGTGTAGGAAATGGATTTGATTAAAATGTACATCATACAAGAAACAATAAGTCAATCCAGTAAGTTTTACAGTTTTGAGCACAACGCTTTAAGTACTCCTTTACAATGCAACTTTAAGTAACATAAATCGTCTGCTTAGTTGACTGGGAAACCCACTATATGGACAATTGTTGATAAATGGTTTCAGCAGAATCATGTACACAGAGGAAAGTTCAACCATAGAGGACTGAATTGTTAACCTCAACGACGACAAGTTATTAGCAGATCCAGATTATTTTTAGTAGCTCTCTAACACCTTCAATCCTGAAAAGGTTGAATTCCTGTAGGGGGGGAGGTGAGGGTGGGGGCATGGCTGTGTAAATACAGCTTTCACTAGAGCAAGAATGTGCCTAAAATGAAACTGTTAAGACCTTTGTTGATGCATATGAATCATCACATCCCAATTGGACAAATTGTTCTATTTCCTATGAAAGTGAAAGTGAAAATGAAGGTATATAGTACAATTAATCTACAATTCTTAAAACACTGAAGAAGAAAATATTCCAAAAAAACCTACCAAAGAAGTCATCTAAGCATAATTTTCGACATTGTGCCCAAAGCCTGTATAAATAAAGAATAAATGAATAAGATTTGCCTTGTAGATGGTTGGAAAACATCAAAGGATGGAACTAAACTTTTCGATGGGATCAGACTCTTCAAGCATGGAAGCTGCCTGGAAACAATCAGCAGCATCAGCTACCCGTCCATCGTCTCTATGAACCAATCCCAAGTGGTACCAAGCTACACGATTGGTAGGTTCAATCCTCAATGCATCTGAGAGTAATGCTTTTGCCAATGGCAACATCCCCGGGTCCATTTTAGTCAATAAAGAACCAAGCAAGATCTTACACTGCACATGATTAGGCTCTACTAATAGTGCATTAATATAAGCTGACAACGCTTTGTCATTTTCTCCCTGTCTTTCAAACATCATTCCTGAAACAGATTGACATAGAAAAATCAGCAGAAGTAATATCCTACTTATCTTATTCTCTCCCATTAAGAAGGAAGCTCTTAGGTATCAATGACAAAAACTATTGTACATGCAAGCAGCCCTATCACACCTCTTATGTTGGTAATTTTTTATCAGTACTAGACTACTGGTCCAATAGTTACAATCTATCCACCATAACCACAATACAGAGGAATTTGTTTGGCGAAATTAGCTCTCTTTTAAATGTCAGCTCTTTGCTGACAATGACGTCTGAAAACCAGAAAAATTGTCATCATTTTCCTAGAAATGAGAAACACAACTACAAGTAACCTAAAAAGTCTATTAAAAACAAAAGTTTCTTCACCCTCCTTGTTTTCAAACTTTAGTTCCAGCGCATTCTTACTCTTTGCAAAACTTTGATGGCACAATGGAATATGGATGCCATACACCAGGTTCAGTCTTTAAAAGAAAACTAATTAAGATTTTGCTTATAGCAACATTTACTCAAATTTTCAGCAACTTCATTGATACCATAGTTTGTTAAGTTCTACACCCTTTCCCAAGAAAGAAGAAACAACACAACTATTTATAACAACTGTCTAAATTCCAAAATAGTGGGGTCGGTTAACTGAATTCTCAATATCTATCTCATTCCAATACTATAAAAGGTTTGCTAAGTAGAGATTCTCTACATTTTTGTGGACATATTAAATCTTTAAACAAAGTAAAAAGACTTCTTATAAATACCGGTTTTGTTAATAGCTTGGTAAAGGCCCTTTGTGCACTTCGACTCGATAATTGTTGCTTTAGTACAGGCGTCAAGACGCTAACGCAAGTGCACCTTCACCAATACTTTCTGTCTTTAAGGAAGAAACAACATATCTTTTGTCCAAATAATTGTTGTTTGTGTCTATAGTTAATTTTTCTTGCATTACATTTCCATTTTTTAATTTATTCTTCATTGGCGGTTTTCTTTGCTAAAGCCCACACTTTAATTAAGCTTTGCACTTTCTTTGGGTTTTTTACTTTTGACTACTTTGGTAAATAACAGACCTAGTATAAGTGTACAAACACGACTAAGCCTTAATCCTATTAACTAGTTAGTTGGTATCAACCTATATGAATCTTTGCTTCCCAAAAAAGGCAGAAGAACTAAATGTAAAAGTACCTATAATCTTTCCTGTGTTTCAAACCCTTAAGATTTTATATCTCTTTGGAACTCTTGTATTAGGATCAAGTGTGCATCAAAACTAGTAATTCAGAAAATTCTCAGATACCAGCTACAAAAACATTGATGGGACGCAGATGCTAAAGGAGGAGGAAGACAAACATGCTCGAACTTCACAAGGTACAAAGTAGAGAAGCACCATGCACTATCTGAACTGCTATTACTACTACTATAACTAAAAATACAATTATATAAATCTTTACACTACTTTCCATGACTAAATAAGGAATCTAATGTTATGTAGATCTCAGTATCTCACAAGAAACATAGTCTTAAAAACATATGGAAGTCTGAAGTTCCCAGTCTAACAGGTTATCTCCCAGGTCATATAAGGTGCAAAGAAAGAAAAAGCTACATTTTAATTCAAATGTATACGAGCAATTCTATACTTTATCTGAACCCACCAAAGATGAGCAGATTTGCATTGATGAGGTAATTTTCCAAGTCCTGTAAACAACCACTGTTTTCAGTCTTTAGTTGCAACTCACCTACTCTTACTTATTCTAAATTTAATATCGAGTAAAGAAAACGAGGGAAGAAAGTCAATAATTTTTTTAAAAAAACAACAGTTGGATCAGTCATTGTGAGTTAAGTTAATAATCTTGCCTTCTGTATACAAAGTGTCTGCTGAGTACTCGATAAGACCTCTAGCTTTCTCCAAACATGTCTCTGCATCCTTAAAATGTGAAAGGCTAGAGTACAAGTCTGCCAGTCCATGCCAAACTTCATATTCATTTACCTTATCTTCCTCCACCTGTAATAGACAAATACAAAAAGAAAATAATTCAATGAAGTCAGAACTAGAAGCATCGTATGAATGGCAAAGCATATTCTGTTGTTTCACGATTGAAGCTAAAAAGTTTTCAGTGGTAAGGTACCAAAGTGAGTTACAGAATTACGACAGGCAAACATAAACGGGTTTTATACTGGAATATGCATTTTTCTCTTCATTTGTAAGACCATTAGAATAAATATTAGAAAGGAATCTGCACACATTCAATCTCATTTTTTGATAACATAAGGAAATCATGATGGAGCTGAAATTAAGTGTACTGAAATACAGAATAGTATCTATAAAGCAAGGAATTGGGCAGACGAGCCCATTCATTCTTTCATACATTAGTTCCATTCACCCCTCCTTTTTCCCTTTCCATCACTCATTACAAAAAAATCACTCAAAAGTCTCAAACCACAGTACCAACATGCACCTTAATAGACCCAAATACAACGACCTTTTTACTGCAGATATGAACATCAAAGTCATAATTTACAAATGTTCAACCAATTTAATGGTAAATGGTAACACTCATCTATCTGTAGCATGTTAATCTAACAAGAGACGGTGGATTCTAGTGTGTAATGATGTTGGATCGCAAAAAAACAATTAGTCTTTACGGCAAGAAAAGCTAAAGGATGTTCATGAGAAAATCATGTCATGGTGGAAAAGATCACAGTGGATATGATGACAACCATTAGACAAGTTTAGCATTGGAAGATGGTCTCAGTACTGGCTTTTCATGGATTTTAACCCTCTGTTTATGGTTCTGATGATGTCTGCTAAGGTGGCTGAAACTGGAATATGACTTACGAGCCAGTGTTGTTGGTAACTGTGGTCATTAATGACTTTTCAAGGTTGTCATACTGATGAAACACTTCTAGTGTCGAGTGAAAGTAATCCCAATGGAGAAACCAGTAGTGGGTGGTCACATATGGCATAGAAGGGAGGAGACAATCTTTGGTTTGAAAAGATTTTATTGATTGGTGGAAACTTTTTTTTGTGTGACAGAATTGTGCTGCTTCTGGGTTCTGGCTAACAAGAGAGTCAGGACCAAGTAAATGCTTTAATGAGTTCTTTAATTTTGGGGAGACTGGAGGAGTGGAAGTGGAGTCAAGAATTGGTTTTGAAGTTGAAGCTATTGAATTCAGAATCGGAATCTCATTGAGAAGTGGTTACTTCTATCCCAGTTCTCAGTTCCAAATGCAGACTACTAGGGGCACAAGGGGGTGGGAAGTGAAAAGGAAAATCTGAGACACATATGTTTCCACTAAAGTTACTAGATATACAATCTAACCTGAGGCGCATTTCTGAATGGTCCAAAAGATTTTCTTTGAGCTTGAACCAATGAAAGGAGATGACGATAAGGTTCAACGGCGTCGATGTACCGTGACTGGGATGTTTTAAGCTTAGCTTTCATTCTTAGCAAAGGTCCTTGATCCCACTTTGTAGTCTCATCAAAAGCCGCATCAGTAACTACTTCAGCCTCCGAATAGCGATGTTGAGCAGAAAGAACTAAAGCAAGCAGTCTCCAACCTCTTAGAGTAGATCCTCCCGTTGCATCAACATACTTTCTCGCATATTGCAAAGCTGCATCCAGATTACGGTGCTCTGCATATTGAACGCCTAACTCAAACATCAAATCTGAATTTTCATGCTCTAAAGCCATTGCACCATCTAAAGATTTTAAAGCCTCAGATTGAAGTTGTGATCTCTCAAAGTCGGAGGTTGCAACTTTCGCCTGCTTGCCCAAACAAAGACCTAACACGCGGAGACCAACACCTTTCAAGTGTTCATTTGAACCCTCTGCATTAGTTATCGCCCTCTGTGCATACTTCACTCCCTCAGCTGCAAGAAAGACATCCTCAGAACAAATTCTAGAAGCCAACACCAATGAGAGAACGTCATCTGGCTCTTCATGTTTATGCAGAGACTTCCGCAGCAGACTTAAGGCATTTTTGTTCTGTCCAGCCGCAAAATAACAAAGTGCTAAAGATCGCCAACGATCAATCCGGTTAAGTACCCCTGGCATTACTTCTTCAAGTTGCTTAGCTAAAACAGAGGTTTGGCCGCATACAGACAGAGCAAATGTAAGGTGCTCTAAAACTGAAGGGTCCCATTTGATCTTACCAAGGTAAACTTTTCTCATCAGAATCATTAACAGCAGTATTGCTTCTTCTAAATTGTTCCTAGGTACATAAGAACCGTCAATTTGCACAGCTAAGCTTGGTGGGCAAACCTCAACCCCACTATAAAGTAGAAACACAGCAAAAGCTTTTTGAATCCTGGCACAGCAGTCATTATCGAGATTCCATTGGCTTAAGAGGGCACGGCGATAGGCAGACATTGCTTCAGAATAGGAACCAGCTTGCTTCCATAGCTCTGGAAGGAGCTCAACAGCATGGCTCACAGTTTCTTGCAGCTTATTCTCCACCAGTACATCAGGTATGCCACTATCGAATATCTTCTCTACGGCATCAAGCACACTTAGACATTCATGAGCAGCATCTACAAATTCCCAATTAAAGAAACATCTGTAAATGATCAAATCAAAGAAATACCAAATTTTTCATTACTTTATAAAAACTATTGAAAGTGCCTTCTACCAGTCAGTCTCCCAAGCTTTTGCAGGGACTTCGCTTTCAAATATATGGCCTCAAGGACCAGACCAGCAGCATGCTGTGAGACACCTGGCACAGACTCAATGCTTTTAGTGCGGCCCTTTTTAGAAGGTTGTTTCTCAGTAACAGAAGGCTGCATCCTCTGTATGGCTGCTTGAAGATCAATACCATCAAACACCCTAAGAGCACCTTCCACATTTCCTCTTTGATATTCCAATCTTCCAAGAAGAGCTCGTGCTTCCTGCGATCAAAATTATAATCCATCAGCAAACACATACCTTCAGATCTTTAAGTTTATGTTGATGAAAATCAAGAGCGGAAGGGATAAACTGATAAAGGAAGAAGAAACAGACATTTATAAACTATTACAACTTAAAGAGCTTTCAGGGAAATAAGATAAAATACATTCATTGACTAGTGTTCGAATTTACATGCAAATTAAACCAAAATCCAAAGTATAAACATACATAAAATCCTGTCAAAACAAAAGAAGGTTTGCTCCACTTCCTTGGTTTCTTTTTCTAGACAAGAAACCAATACCAGTTCAGCTTATTCAATTGAAGTTTGTAAATCCTATAATGCAGAATAGTTGTTGAACATAAACTTTCACCAGAAATATATAAGCATCACCAAAAGACAACAGATCAGAAAGCTCACAACTCACAGAAACTTTTAGTAACGCACTATGCCTATAATAGATGGAAACCATACAACATATGAGAGCAGAAAGGACCAGATATATGGGAATTTTCAAGAATCTGTCATTTGAAGTCCAAAGGATTAAAGTGACAGAATCTCAAACTCGTCATCAATGGCTTCCTTCAAACATTTTAGCCACCAAAAAAATAATTCTGCCGGCGATCATGAATTTAATCAAAGAGAGCAGTCAATCCAAACTTTTACTTCTTTACTTATCACTATGAGTTTGTATAAGCTCTAAGCTTTATAGCTGCATAAATGAAAATTCAATAGGAATGCAAAGAACAAACATAAACTTTGACAATCACTCACCTCAAAATTGAGGGACAAACCTTCACGCAATGCAGATTCAGCCTCTTGAATGTTTCCCTCATCAAGCTTTGCTTCAACAACATTTGTTTGCATGCAAATCCCATTTGCACAAACTTGCCTAACTGATCGATCAACATCAGCCTGCCCTAATTCTGGTGATTCATTTCCAGACATCTCTGGCCCCACTTTCTATGCTCACTACAATTTTTAAAAAAAGAAAACATCATTAACCATTAAATTTGATCCCTTAGCTTTAATAGCATCAAGAAAATGGTTAATCCCTTTGCCCCATTTCATTCTTGATGTTAATATGCACAACAAACTTCAAATTTACCAACCCATTAGGTGAAAAAGATTCAACATTATTAAAAAAAACACTATATAATGGGGAAAAACCGTTTTTGAATCAGAATCCTAAGAATTTATAAAAATCAAACAGTAAGAGGCGCATAAAAAATGAATCTTGAAAATAAAAACAACTGAGAATTCATAATACAATATATAAGAATCAAGAATTCGAGAAAATGGGAATGGGTATTACCTCAAAATGTTGTTGATTTTAGTGGCAGATAAATGGTTAATTGTTTAAAACAACGAAATGGGTGAAAAAATTTCTGGATCAAGAAAGAGAGAGAAAGAGAGAGAGAGAGGAGAAGAAGAATTTTGGTGACAGCGTTTTGACTTATTACTCGGAATATCCTATGAAAAGAAAAAACAACAACAAAACAAGACAAGTACTCACGGTTCAGGTTTTATATTGCTCCATTTTGGGAATTTTAGAGTTACCGCCGGCGAGATTAATTTTGAAACTACTAGTATTTTTTATCCTCTAATTTTATGTATCATTTCATTTTATTTTATTTTTATTTTTTATAATCCTGATGTTCGAGCAACTTACCTATCAAAGTTAAATATATGATAGATATTACATGTATTTTACTTCTATTGAAATTTAAATTTGATACGTGTATAGCCTTATTTTATTGATTACTAGACAATGTATATATTAATTTATATATATTTAAATAATAAACTAAGGTAAGATTAGAGTAGATGTAAAAAAAAGATGCAGTTCTTAAGAATCAAATCTCGGATGTCATGGTACATTTTGAATGCCTTGGATCATTGAGCTAATATTTTGTATTTATTCATGGGATTTATGCATTTTCCCCCATTGACCATTGATGACCTATTACATACCATTACTTATCCAAAATTCACTATTTAGTAGCAGATGTGTGTAATAGGTCACCATATTAGTTTAAATGTGTAACTGACTTTTCGAGACAAATTCGGAGATGAATTTATGTCTTTTTCCTTTTAAATTTATATGTGTACATAGACACAATTTTTTTTTAAATAACATGTCATGATCTTTTTTTATTTTTGGTCATTTAATCTAAGATTCACTAACATAAAAACCTATTAAAGAAATACTCTTTACAAGAATTGCTTTTTATTTTTTAAGATTTGAAACTAAAATCTCTTGTTAGGCGAAGAGATTTCATTTATTCTACCGTAACACTTATTATTTTTGGCGAAATTTTTAGCAATTGCCTTTTATGAAATAGTTATTTAGTAAATAATTATTTTTTTAAGAAAAAGAAAAAATCTCTTACCATTTGGCATTTAAGGACCTTTTTAGACATCTACTTAAAAAGTTTCTTTAAGCAAACTGAATTCTTATGGTAAGTTATTACAAATGGACAATAATATTTTATCAAATAAAATTGAGCAATATATAAGTAAGCATAGAAGAGTGATAGACTCAAATATAAAACATAGTAATTCTTTCTAAATTAAAGGTATATTTGTAAACCTTTTTAAAATGAGGATAAAGTCTAAATAATAACCCAAAAAAGGGAAATGTGTGTAAGTCAACCTTACTTTTGTATTTGTACTACATAGAATTAGAGCTGTCAATATGGGCTAGCCCACCCCATCCGGGCTAACCCATACAGGCTTTGACATTTTACGGGCCGGGCCAGGCCAGGCTAGCCCATTTTTGGTGTGGGCCAGAAAATGGTCGGCCCAACCCACAAGTACGTGGGCTACAGGCTTGCCGGGCCAGCCCACTTTATTAAAAGTTATATATTTTTTTAAATTTAAAAATATTATCATAAATATCGACAAAACAATATTACATGGTGTTATTGTTACTACTTGTTAATCAAATCCACAAATAAAATTATCTTTATAATATTTATTAAGTTTTTTTTCAAGTAAAAGTATAAATATCTAAATAGAAATATTAACCTAACTGTTTTGCAATGATCACAATAAAACACAAAAAATATGACAATATTCCAACCATAAAAATGTAAAAAATAAACTCCTTAAAAAATCATGAAACTTATGGCGTATCTAACACTTCATGAAACCTATGGCGTATCTAACACTTCATGATCATCTTCATCAAGCATATCTGAATCAACTTGTGGGAAGGTTGTCTTAACATCTTCATTTTCATCTGCAATTTATATGCGGTTTCAATTAGTTAAATATTAAAAAATAACTAAATTGAGAATTATAATATTTAAATGTACACAAAAATATATTACCAGTTTGAGAAAAACCATGTAACCAGTTTCGAGTAGCAACAAGTGTTTGGACATTTTCATGGTGGATGCAACTTCTATACTTAGTGATTTCCTAAAAAACTTTAAATAGATTTTGAGTTTGGATCTCTTTAATTTTAAATTTTAATATTATATTATATTTTTTAATTAATTTGTATTAGCCCACGGGCCGGCCCTACCTATATTTCTCAAGCCCCACAAATCAACAGACTTATTCAGGCCGGGCTAAAAA